ACCCCAACGGAGGCCACTTGCACAACCGCATGACTGACAGTTGTGGTTCCATCGTCCAAAGTGCCATATCCATTGTAACCCACAGTGTCCGCAGACCCGTCGTTCTTCAGGAACGCCGTGTGGTAGAAACCTGCAGCAACAGCAGTCACCCCACCTGCAGGCACATGCACAGTCCCATGTTTGTTACTTGTGGTTCAATCACCCAATTGGCCAACAACATTACGTCCCAGTGTGCACAGACCCGTCGCTCTTCAGGATCGCCGTGTGATAAACACCTGCTGCACCAGCAGCCACCCCACTTGAAACGACTTGCACAAACTCGTGTCTGTTAGTTGTGGTACCATCGCACAATTTGGCAACGTCATTACGCCCCACAGTGTGCACTGACCCGTTGCTCTTCAGGACCGCCGTGTGATAAACAATTGCTGCAACAACACTCACCCCACTGGAAGCCACTTGCACAAGCTCCTGTCTGTCAGTTGTGGTTCCATCGCCTCAATGGCCGAAGGTATTGTATCACACCGTATGCACAGAAAAAAAAACAAAACAAAAAAAAGAAACAACACCTTTCAGAAATTTAGAAAGCCGTGCACCCCTGTGATGAATCACCAGGGAGCGGCGGATGCAATGGCCTTCGGCCCATCCCGCCACCGTTCCGGGGTTGTCGATGGTCTCGGGGGTTTATGGGAGGGTTCTTGCGGGCATCTTGGGAGCCTCCATGGACCTCCTGGGGGCCTCTTCGGTTTCTCTTGGGCGCCTAGTTTCGAGGGGGGTCCAAGAATGGCCCAGGAGGGCACCGAGAGCTCGCTGAGAGACATTCCAGGACAGCACCCGGGGACGCCAAAGGTAAGTGCAATCAAGCCCCTAGGGAGGTGGCGCCTCCAGAGCGAAGCCCTGAGAGACTCGAAGCACCTGCAGCCACTACGCGGTAAGTCCGTTTAGTGTCGACGCGGCGGCGACCCTGTGCGCAGGCCTTCAAGGTTGAACGACCCCAGTAGCGGCGAGCCGGCCCGTATCGAACGATTTGTGCTAGCCGCGATCCTTTCTTCTCGCGATCCGGGGAACTGTAATACTAGAGTTCGCTGGATCTCGTGTTTGCCGAAGCTTTCTGACGGGCCCGTCCTGAATTTTGACGGTCCAGCTTTCCTGGGATGTCTGCATCGGGAGCTCGCGTCAGATTTCAGACTGGGCCCCGTAATTTCCCTGACGGCCCCGTCAGGCCAACCCGAGCCCCCCGAACCCAAGCCTCCCTTCCCCCCGAGCGATGACAGCCGTTGGAGTCAGCCCACATAATAAGGACGGGCAACCTTCCCAAGGGTACCCTTGCATCCTTGCCCCTTCGGCCCATTCTTAGCAACTTTCGCTGGCCAACCTCGTTCGAACAACTTATCATGGGTCTCCCAGGCCCTTGCATCCTTACCGCGCATCCTTCTGATACGGGCTGACTGTACTGGAGGGGAGGAGGAGACCAGCACCGTCACGATCCGCACCGGCGCCGAAGTCGGCGTCTTCTGAAAAGCAGGGTGCTCCTGAGAAGGCCTCCCCCCTCCTCCCAACCCCCTCTGCGCGTGGAAACCTTGAACCTCGGACTTGAGTGTGGGGAGACCAGTAGGTATCGATACCGCTACGCCCTGGACCTCGCCTGGGGTGAGTTCTGACCTGGATTTCGAAGCGGATCCATCGGTGGCGACGAGGGCCTCCCAGGAAGCCCAAACAGAGGAAAACGGGCGGAGGGTACCAGTATGGGTATCTTTTCCCACCATTTGTCGTCGGTTCTCGGCGGTTTTCCAGCCTCGGGATGCCCTCCAGCAGTTTCGCCTCGCCGAGGGCGTTCCAGGGGTGCCGTGATCCTTCCGAACGGCCGCTGGAGAGCCGAGCTATGACCCGAAAGCCAGGGGTCAACGTTGTAGACCTCCCAAATGGTGTCCGAGAAGATGGGGTCGGAGCGATCGGCGATGCGGCTCGATGTGGAGCCCAACAGACCGTGGCCTGCATCCAGAAAACTTCCAACCCACAGACCAGGCACGGCAACTTGAGAGAAAAAGGGGAATCCAACAATTCCCTTTCTGTGCAAGTTCGCCCCCTATCTAATCTTGCGCAACAGACCACAATGAAGGCCCCCCTCAGCTCCCAGAAAAGAGCCTGGGAAGCCTTTGAGGGCCCCAAATCGTTGAATACCTAAGGGAAATTAGTGATGTGTGCGTATCCGCAGTTTCCTTTCATACGATTCCGAGGTTTGCGCAGGGCCTGCAAGAGAATCCTTGGATGCAAGAAACGATAAACATGAGGTTCCATGAGTTAGCCCCTTAAGCCTAGCCAGAACTTGAGCGCGCGTGAAGCGCGCGCGATGGTTATGGTATATACATGCGTGTGCATATATATATATATATATGTATATACATATATATATAGACAGATGTACATGTTTTCGCATGTGTAGGTGTATGTGTGTTGCCTGTTGTGTGTTGTGTGTGTTATGTGTGGTGTGTGTGTGCTGTGTGTTGTGTGCTGTGTGTTGTATGTTGTGTGTGTTGTGTGTGCTGTGTGTGTGTGGGTGTGTGGTGTGTGGTGTGAGTGTTGTCTGTTGAGTGTGCTGTGTGTTGGATTTGTGTTATGGGTTGTGTGTGTGGTGTGTGGTGTGTGTGGTGCGTTCTTGTGTGGTGTGTGTTGTGTGTTGTGTGGTGTGTGTGTTTGCGCGGATACGTATCTCTCTCTCTCTCTCTTGTCCATTGTCTCTCTCTCTCTCTCTGTCTATGGCTATGTACACATTGGTGTGCATACACACATTTGATTATAGTGGCCTTCGGCCCGTCCCGCCACCACGCCTGGGTTGTATGTCAGAGGCCTCTTGGATGCCAGGAATGTTTTCCCCAAGATCTACCTGGAGACTCTTGGAGGCGGTGTTCGTGGTTTGGGGGCATGGGACATGGTTTGGGCCTTTGGGGGGCCTTTTGGGGCTTCTCTGGGACAGTTTGGGGGCCACCTGGCGGTCTCTTGGGGTTGGGGCGGAAGGCTCGAAAAGTCGGTTCGTGTTCCCCCTCTTGGGCCGTCTCGGGGCCGTCTTGGGGCGATCGTTCGGATCTCTTGGGTTGTTTTGGGATGATTTGGGGGGCCTCTTGGATCGTCTTGGAGCGGCGGAAGCCCGAAAAGGCAAGAACTCAAATCTGGCATGAGGATAATAGAGAGAAATTCGATGTTTGGGATACGTATCTTGGGGACCTCTTCGGGGACCTCTCGGAGCCCTCTTAGTGCGTCTTGGGGGCCTCGTAGGCCGTCTGGAGGCCATCTTGGCCGTCTTGGAACGATCGTCGTGCGACTCGGTGTCCTCTTTGGCCATCGCGGGGGCCTCTCGGCGTCGCGCGTCGTGGGCATGCAAGGCGCGCACAAGGTCATCTCCATCCCCGTCTTGTGCCGCGCCGCCGAGGGCCACCAGCCGCACGCCGACCACATAGACCACGCTGCCTCACGAATCCCGAATCTGGCGCAGGCCAGACTGGCGCAGGCTCCGCATCGCCTGTCACCTGACGCCGCGAGACAGATGCCGTCGCTGCGACGGCGGAGTGCCAGAATCCGTTCATTGAGCGCTCCTATGGTGTGGCGCCCATCAACGGCGCGAAGACCACCCCGAGGCAAGGGGGGTGGCCATAAGTACACGAATCAGAGGTGGAAGGGCACCAACACTAGCAGTACCAAGCATGCGCTGGACGACAAGCTGCAAGACGCTGTCCAGGCTGTCTTCCATATCCACTTTTCACACGTGGCCATCACCGAGCCGGCGCAGCGCTTGGTGAGACACGGCGCAGTAGCAGGCGAGCGGCGCCCGTACGCCATCTTCGGGGCCGCCCCGCACGACGTCAGCACCGTCTTAGAAGTTGTTCCGCAGGACCACCCCAGCGCGGTAACTTCATCGGTTGGCGTGAGACCGATACTATTCTGACAGAGGTCTTCGCCAAGGCCCAGCGCCGCCTGTTGCTGGGAGCGGTCGCAGGCGACAGTGCCGTCGGGTTCCGCGTCCGATAAACCTCGGCGCCGCCTATCGCAATCGCGGTGACGACTATGGCGCTGGAGCTGGGCGACGCCATGGACGGTGCCGACGAGGCTGCCCCATCGTTTCCCCGAGACATGTCTGAAGACGACCCAGACGTCGGGCTAGGCAGCAACCCGGCTGGATCCGACGACAACGCGCCGTTAAGCTTCGACGTTACCACGCGGGGGGGCCCGCCACTGCTGGCGCAGCGGACACGCTGCGCCCTGTCAAAGTCGACCCTTTCGGCGCCCGCGGCCCGCCCTCGCTCCGAGGGGCCTGTGTGCCCCCGCGCGGGCCAGCGACGCCTTAGCAGGGCCTCGCGGTGGCGCGGACTCCCGCGCAGTCGGCGCCCAAGTCGCCCGCGACCGTCGGGCCGCCGCCGTCGGCGCCCCCCCCCCTGTGAGCGGCCTTTCGCACCATGCAGGGTCCGCGCGCAGATTGCCGCCTTCGAGGATCATCGATCATCGGCCAGCTTCGCGCGGCCACCCTGACCCAGCGAGACCAGCGGCGGGCCCTGGTGGCCCGCCTCCACTCGGCTCAGCAGCGCACGTCGCCATGGGTGGCTTTCTTCTCTGGCACTGCCATCGTGAGGAACCTTCTGGCGGGGCCCTGGTTTCCCGCGAAAGGGTGGGCGGGGGGAGGGAGGTTGCTCGCCTCCCGCCTGGGCAGCACTTTCCAACGCACGCTCGCGGCGTTTGCGCCACCCCGCGAAGCGGGGTGACTCGGACACGCTCCGCCACGGCGAGCGGTCAGCACATGGTGCCGCGGTCTTGACGGCTCCCGCAGCCTTGGGGCAAGGCCCTCGCAATTCTGCAATTCTTCGTAACTTCAACTCTGGCTCCAAAGAGCTGGGCGGGCAGCATGCGAGCACTGCAGGCGCATGGATACGCGTGTCCGCATCTTGCCCTCTCTCTCTCTCTCTCTCTCTCTCCCTCTCGTCCCTTGCCCGATCATTTCTCTCGCAGCCTGGCAGTCTTCCCTTGGCGCTGCGAGGTCACCTGGCCCGAAGTACGCGTTGCCAGGCCTTCAAGAGGTCCGCCAGCGTGGGATCGGGGGAGGCCAGGAAGAGAGGAATGCTTCTGATGATGCTGATGCCGATGATTATGATGATGATGATGATGATGATGATGATGATGATGATGATGATGATGATGATGATGATGATGCTGATGCTGATGCTGATGCTGATGCTGATACTGGTAGTGATGATGATGACGACGATGACTTCGACGATGCTGATGATGATGCTCATGATGATGCTGATGAGATGGGGGCGATGGTGATGGTAATGATGCTGATGATGATAATGATGACGATGACGATGGCGATGGCAATGATGCTGATGATGCTGATGATGATGATGAACATGACGATGCTGATAATGGCAATGGTGGTGGTGGTGATGGTGACGGTGACGGTGGTGGTGATGGTGATGGTGATGTTGATATAGATGATGATGACGAGGAGGAGGATAATGATGATGACGATGACGATGCTAGTGCTGACGACGATGGCGACGACGAGGATGCTGATGGTGGTGACGCTGATGGTGAGGATATGAGAAGGAGGAAGAGGAGGAAGAGGGCGAGGATGACAATTGTGATGGCGATGCTGATGGTGATGATGATGATGTGAAAGTTGCTAAAGAGGTGTGATGGTGATGGTAATGGTGCCGTTGCTGGTGATGATGATGATGACCATGACGATGACGATGGTAATGATGATACCGATACTGGTGCGGATGAAACTGATGATGCTGTTGTTGATGATGGTATTGTTGTTGATACGGGGGATGGTGCTTCGGATGATGATGATAAGATGTATGACGATGATCAGTGTGAAGGGTGATGATAATGATGAGGGTGATGGTGGTGGTGATGTTGATGCAGATGATGCATATGATGATGACGATGACTATCATATATACATATATCACTATAACTATGATGATTATGATGCTGATGATGATAGTGATGATGAATCTGATGATGATGCTGATGATGATGATGAGAATGCTGCTAATCCTGATGCTGCTGATGTTGATGATGACGATGCTGATGCTGATGATGCTGATGATGATGAGTGTGGTTGTGGTGACGGTGACGGTGATGATGATGATGATGATGACGATGATGATGATGATGGTGATGATGATGATGATGATGATGATGATGATGATGATGGAGGTGGTGGTGGTGGTGATGATGGTGATGCTGATGGTGGTTCTGATGAGGAGGAGGATGGTGGTGGTGATGATGATGATGATGCAGACGATGCTGATGTGATGATGGTGAGGGTAATGGGGACGGTGATGGTGATGGTGATGAAGGTGGTGGCAATGGTGATGATGCTGATTCTGATGATGACAGGAGGAAGAGGAATACGATGCATAGGCGAAGGAAGAGGAAACGGCCGGGAAGCAGCGGAAGAGAAGAGGGACATTTAGGGCGGATAGGCATGGGAACGAACGCGATGGGTAGGAACATCAGTGGAAGGAGGAGACAGGCAGGTCAGGAAGCAGACAGTGAGGGGAGTGGAGCATTTCTCCTCCCCCTGCCCCCTTGTCCGCCCGGGTCGGACGAACTGGGGGCTTTGGGACAGGGGGGGAAGGACGTCTGCTGCGTGCAGCTTGTTTTTGGTTCCGCTGCCATGCGTAGCCGCCTCCGGCGCCCATGGAAAACCAGCTGCATGTTGCTGATTCGTCAACCAGCCCTGTGTTATCCCCCGCGGCGGTGGGGCAGGTACCGCCCTCCGTGGTCGTCAAAGGCTTTGGCGGCTCGCCACGCTTCCACAAGGCCCCCCCCCTGCACTCGCCCTGCGCCAGCTCCATCCTGTCGTTTTTGTGTTCCTTGTTGCTTTTACCCTCCCCCACTTCCCCCTCGAGAAGAAGACGAGTATGCTGATGATGATGATGATGATGATGATGATGATGGTGATGATGATGGTGATGGTGATGGTGATGGTGATGGTGATGGTGATGGTGATGGTGATGATGATGATGATGATGATGATGATGATGATGATGATGAGGATGATGATGATGATGATGATGATCACGATGGTGAGGAGGAGGAGGAGGAGAAGGAACAGGAATGTGGAGTGAGGATTCAGGGTGAGGGAGGTAGGGGCAGGAGGAGGAGGAGGAGGGGAAGGAGGAGAAGGATGAGGAGTGATGAAGAACGGTAGAGAAGGAAGGAGGAGGAGGATGAGGAGTAGGAGGGGAAGGAGGAGGGGAAGGAGGAGGAGGAGAAGGAGAAGGAGGCCCTGGGAACGTTCAACCTGGCGCCCCCGTCAGCGCGCTGGGATATTACGCGTCTTGGCTTGATACAGAGGACTGCATTCACATAGGGACACTGGAAGTTCGGAAACGTTCACATTGCGGCCACGAGTGCAACTAAAATCGATTAAAATGAGACACCGTTTGCAACCAGTGGTGCATCAGGATGGACATTGGACCGATTTGGCATTACAGTATTTTCTTCCGACAAGGTATATCCATGATTAAGTTTAGGGCTTGATTTCGATGTGCTACCGCCTGCCGGTCAGCATCGTCGAGGAGCCCAGTAGAGGTTCTCTCTTTCAGAATGCGTGGAATATCTGCATCATAGCGCCAGCAGTGGGGAATCAGAGTGGGTGCAGCTATTGAGACCCGCGTGTCCCTTGGCACTGGCACCTTCTGGGCAAGTACGTACAACTGTGAGATGTCGCCGGGGATATTGTCATCGCTGCTTAGACAAAAGGGAAAGGAGGAAGAGGAGGAGGAGGAGGTCGACGACGACGACCACGACGAGGGAGAGGGGTATCTCGCCGATGCTGTTTTCCGTGCTTGGGCCGTGTTCAAGGCTCACCAGTGTATGCCGCATCCGCCGACACTTGGCGGGTCCTGAGTTTCTCTTCTCCGAAGCCTGTCGCAACTTTTGGAGGGCCTCTGTTGCCATCGGAACCTCCTGATGTTGCGCGACCACCCGGGAAAGCCCAAAGCCATGCCGCCTTGGTGGGCGATTTTACGAACATCTTGGAGGCTTAAGGGACTAATGGGTCCTTCTTGGGCTCTCTGGGGCTGTTTGGGCGTCCCTGAGGGCCTTTCTGTTGGACTTGTTGTTGCCATCTTGGGCCGTCGTACGTCTCTCTAAAGGCCCTCTTAGGCTGTCTTGAGGTCCTCATGGCGCCTTCTTACCCACGGGTGCGCTGACCCCCCTGCGCCTAAACAAATGATTGCAGGTGGCTGAGACCGAATTCCGCGGAGGGGTGGGGAGTGGCGGGGATTCGCTCCTTGTGACCCAGAGATGGGTCAGACAGGACCAAGTGGAGAACTTCAACCCCAGCGCGTCGCCGTTCTCCACGGTGTATCCGTACCCGGACTCGTCTTTTCGGATTTCGGATGAAGTGGGGCGAAGGGGAAAGAAAAGGAGGAGGAGGCAGTCGAGACGGATGATGATGAGGTAATTGAAAAGAATGGTTGGAGGGAGGAGATTTTCTATCCTCCTCCCTTGTCCCTCCTTCTCCGTCGTCTCTCAAGTTCCTTCCCTATACGTACCCACTCCTCCCCTACTTCCTTCTCCCTCTGCCCTCCGCCCTCCTCATGTCTCCCGCCCTCCCGTTTCTCGCCTGCCTCTCGCTGATGTCATTGTTCCTCGTTCTCCCCCCCTCACTCCTCCTCACCCTCCAATCGCCCTCTCACTACTCACCCTTACCTCCGTCTAATCAGCCTTCGGCCCCCCCCCCGCCGTTCTCCCCACCCCGCGTTCTCCCGACCTCCTGACCCTCTCGTCCTCCTTTTCATCGTCCTATTCCATCTTCAATATGCCGTCCTCCTCACCCGTCTCCTCATCATCCTCGTCTTTCCTCCAAAGTCCCACTGTCCTCCGCCACCTCCATCTCCTCCCCCTCATCATCCTCGTCCTCGCCGTGCTCTTCCTCCCCGTCCTCCTGTTGGTCGCAGGCAGGCATGGCTCTGGAATCGTGCAGGTGGGCCGCAGCGACCAGGGAGGGATGCGACATCGGGGAGGCATTGGACGTAATTAAAAAATGTTCATGCGTTGGCAGGTGTGCTATCACTGGACCAAAATTATCATCCCAGGTCCCTGGTGGCATTTATCTGGGCCAGTTGTGAGCAATACGACCCTCCTTGGTGGGCACCCCGGACCAGGACCACTTCTCTGACGTGGCGATGTTTGGTACGACTTGGGCCCTGGAGTTCTCCAGTTTCCTCCCCATGCACCGGCTTTAAGTCGCGGGCTGCTTCTGGATGGTCTTGCCGAGGGAAGCCGCCTCCACGGTCCAAGATGGCGAAGAGTTTCCGTTTTGTGTTCGTCGTAATGCGACGCTTGGAGGTCTGAGGCACGGACGGGCGTCCGCCCCAGCAGCGGGCGGCATATGCCGCCCAGGCCCCTCCCCCCGCGCGGCGGTTTTCGGCGTGAGCCCGTAGGCCTTGTTCTCGGGGATTGGCCATGGGGCGAACAGGGGTGGGGACCATGCCCAACAGCAGTCGTCGCCCCAATGCAGAGCGACCGCTCTCACGGGCGGGCGTCCCTCACCACGAAAGGATAAGTCGTCGCAGCGAAACCGATAGCTACTCCTTTGCAAAATTACTAGTTTCGGTCATCGCCCCCACTCTTTCCGTCCCGCTTCGGTCCTCCAGGTTGGCTCAGTGTGGGAAACATTGAATCCTAATCGACCGTTCGTCTCAGATCTGGGTTTGGCTGCCCCGCCCCGCCCAGGAAAGGATGGTGCGGCTGTCGGGGGGCTATTGCTGACCCATCGCGGACGCTTCGTCGATTCCAAACCAAAGTGTTCGCCATGAGTAAGTCCCATTTCGGCTGCCTTCGGCCCCAGGCCAGCACCAGTCTTTTCCAAGCAGCGGAAGCGTAGGACGCATTCATAGGTGTCCATTGGGGCAGCGGATGTGCCTCGCCGCCCAGCGCTCCCCGTGGGCGGGGCCCGCCGATCGCATCGCCGATCATGTGCCGCCTGACGTATTTTCTCCGGCCTCGCACCGGATGAGCAGGCGATGAAGCGGCGACGCCGTGCTCATCGTCCAGACACCCCCCCGCGGCCTCCAGGGTGCGAGGCCGCGCACCCCTCCCCACCCCGCGCCCCGCCGCCAGGAGCCGCCGACGACGGCTCCGCCCAGCCCCTCCACGGAGGCGGGGCGCCGCCCCCCACCCCTCTCCGGCTCTGGGCCAGGGGGAGCAGGAGGAAGAGAAACTGCTCTGGTGCAGGGCCCCAAGTTACTGCGCAACTGCGGGCAATTGGTTTAAGCAAGTGTGACCGCCATCAGGCGGTATGACACACCTTTGTTGTGCTTTGGCATAGGCCGCTTCATGCAAACATAATTCCGTCTTCATTACGATGATTCTGTTAGATTTACCTGGTAGCGGAGCAAGGCTATTTCAATGCGGGGGTTCAGCGAATTCTACTTCACGACAGAGATGGATAGAGCACACCTGTGCCAACTTCGGACTTTATGCTCTACCGCGGACAACCAAGGTGACTACGCTTCCGTCAAAGCCGACTTATAGAACCGCAATGACGAGTTACTTTGAAGAGCGATATTGCGTGGGTAACCAAGGCTTGCCCAACGAGCACGCGATGCCATTGATGCGGATGTATGGACAATCGAACGCGGCTGTGCTGAGCCTCTTCAATCGTCAATATTGAAAACAAGCGTAAAGAAGACCACGCACGCAAAGGCGCGGATAACCGATTTGGAACAACCGATGAAGCTACTACTGCCCTTGTAATCCTCGTTCAGATTATTTTGTTGTTCTGTATTTGAGTGTTATTCATTTTTCTTCCTCCCCCTCCTCTTCCGCCACCCCTTTGAAAATTTAAAGTTTTGTGAATGTCGCTGATTCGGCCGTCTAGGCCATTCGGTCGGGATCGACACCCACCGTCACACCCAGGGGCGATACGTTTTAGGGCATATTCGTATCATACGCCTTCTGTCCCCGTTCTGTCCTCTTCGTTTTTTTCCTCCAGAGTCGAATTTTGTGCCCCGCCCCCCCCCCCCCAGACACATTATTACAAAAACCGCCAGTGTGATTTATTTCCTCCGTCGCTCAGGGCACGGTACTAGTTCACTATGTTGCGGCAGGCCGATGTGTCTGGAGTTTGATTCTTGCTGTCCGCTCCCATTTTTCCCCTTCCAAACAAAATTTTCGTTCAGATCGCTGAGAACGCCGGAGCTGACTGAACAAAAAAAACACCAAAGGCTCGTGAGGGAATCGAAGGCAATCAAATCTTGGAAGGGAGGAGATCGGGCGAAATTTCGCGAGTGGAACGACAGACATGCTAAACGCTTTGGCACGTTGCACCACTGGGAACCGCACGGCCTTCGAAATACGGGACCGAAAACGAGAAGCAATAGACGGACCTGGGCCAATTCCGAACGATGAAGGTGAAGCACCAAGTATGCTGAACGGGGGTTGGCAGCAGCGGCGCACAACGAGGCGTCGCTAGAAAAAAGAGAAGGAAGAAGACGAACGCGAAGGCGAATACGTTTTGGACCAGGGTGCAGCTCACAAGGTTGGCAAGAATACATGTTTAATCCGAGTAAGCAATTAAGAGCCTCCCCTCTCAGGCGAAGCTATAACGCATCCAGCCCCCTGGAGCCTTACTTTCGCACCTCGCATCCTGATTTGAACGCAGACGAGTCTGCCCGCCGAAACAAGCAAACCGCCTGACACATTCTCGCAGATATGGTTTCCGTGTGGTTTTGAAACAAAAACCTCGCCTGAGACATCCTCAGGGACTGCTCTGAATGCAGACGCGTCTGCAATGGGGGAGCCCTCTGGGAGAGTCTTATGGGGGTGTCCGATGGGGAGCCGTATTCTTATTAGCCCTCTTCTTCTGAGTATTATCCATATTCGTATTATTCGTATACTTATTAGCACTCCAGTTCCAACAATTCCAATTGGGATACCACCCGAGCCATGGCGCGGGAATGTGTGACTCCCTTTCCATTTGCGCGGTGTTAATTGCATCGTTCGGCGAAACCTCCCCCCCAATGACTGTTTAATTACAGCGCGGTGCTAATGCTATCCCCGGGGGGGGTCCTCAATGGCCTCCTGGGGTTAATCCCGACCGAGAAAAAGGAGCGCGTTGAGGTGCGGGGCAAGTTACATGACCATGGAGAAATCGAAGGATTCATCCCATGCGCGATGACCTACAAACCGGCAGAACTAGTAAGATCAGTGACGCATCGGTCCAGCTCGATGAGTGGAGTTCGTGCGTGAGGTGAGACTCGCATGAACTGCCGCTGCCAGTCCAGATGACGGCTCCGAATGCGAGGGGCGCCCGCGCCAGGGGGGGTTTGATGACTGGCAGCAGGACCGCCTCAACGCTCTTGATCCCGTAACTGGCGAATCATGTACGAAGGTGCGTTTGCGACGTGGATTGGGCTCGCGAAAAACATGTGGACGCCGGACGCCGGCGCCCGAGACGGCAAATCGACGGGCATCGGGGGGGCCGGGGGGGCAAGGGCGCTTCTAACGCCCAGGGTGGAATGACGACCATTGTCAGGGCGGAGGAGGCGCGGATGCGGTTAGCGAAAACAGGGGCAACGGAAGGACGAGACGCTGCAGGCGCAGCAGAATAGGCCACGGGCGGCAGAATCAAAGGCGAAGGTGGGAACGGCGGCAAAGGAGAAGGGCCCCCGCCCGGCGGCAAACCTGGCGGCAAGGATCAGGCGCCCGCGAACGAGCGCGAATGCTACCAGCGCTGACAAAGGAGACGCGCTGCAGCCGATTGAACTAGGGGGGCCGAGTGCGAGGTCGGGCGCGCCAGCAGTGGCCAGAGAACGCATCATTTTGGGCAGCCCAAGCCAGAATGGCCCCTGGATGCCGTGCCATCACGCGGGGGTGCCCCGATCCACCTGGGGCGCAGTCGGAAACGCCAACCAGGGTGAAGGGTGGTGCGCGACACGAAATGTCGGTTCAACAGTTAAGCAGCAACGCGCCCGCAATTCGACCACCGCGAGGTCTTCGGGCGCACGGGCAGCGATAGCGCGGGCAACCTCGGAATGGCGGAGGCGCCCCAGAAAACATACATTGCAGTTCCCGAGGATAGAACGGAATCTAACGCGGAGACTGCGGCGGTCACCGTCGACCCAGGGGATTCCAGCGCAGTCGGGCCGCTGGGCGACGGCGCGCGCTGCCCGGCAAAACAGACAGGGGCCTCGAAAAGCGGTCGCCGCTGCAGCGCCACCGACGGGGCCGCGGTGCGCGATCGCGGGCAGCGAGTGCACCGCGGGACGAAGGACGCAGGCGACGAGGTCACACTGTCCACGCAAGTTGCCGACGTCGAGAAAGCATTAGGACCGGCCCGCGAAATGGTGGATGCCAGCAACGCGGCCGGCTTGCATCGGGTCGCGCACGGCCGGCCCGGCAGCCGCCCGGGGCGCGGCGCCTTCGGCGAGAGATTGGCGATCCACGAGCGCGGCGGGACACTCCAAGGCGCCATTCGGGTCCCCGCGGGAAAGGAGGAGCGGGCGCGACAATGCGCGACGCGGAGTTTCAAAGTCACGAGCCCCTTGGGAGTGCTTCCGCCCCGCCCCGCAAGCCCTGGCGCGCCGATTGAAGGCGTCGGCGGCGAGAGCGGCGGGGGCGAGGATCAGCGGCGCGGTGGAGGTCCAAGCGCGAGCGACATGAGGGCATTCGAGGGCGCTTTCATGCGTGGAGAAGCCGAACAGGTCAAGGTCAAGGGGCAACCTGCGACCCCCGCCCCAGCAAGGCAAAAATGGAAGACCGCAGGTTGACGATCTACCGCGTCGCATCTGGCGCCCTCAATGCGCGCGAGGGAAAGCCGTGGGAAGGGCGCGCTAAATGAAGGACATGACTAAGCCCGATGAAATGCCAGTCGCCTCAGCTGATTACACGCGGTCAGAAAGTAATGTAGTTGCTCGCGGGGCAACGACAGAGGAGAAAGAAACGACCAATCAGCTCCGATCAGCCCGTCGTTGGCGTCGCACTTCAGAGAACGAAGTTCATCCGGAGGAGAGCGGTAGACGTGGAAGGGGCGGGCGCCTACTCATCCAAAGTCACAGAAGAGAGCGCCAGTCGCCAGTCTCCAGGAATGCATCATTGCATGCGCCGGGGAGGGGGGGGGGTCCTCCATTGCGGTTCAGCAGGAAGCAGCGATATCCTCTGCGTCGATGGCCGCGGGAGTTGAATCAGCATTGAGGGGATTCAGCAGCTGACGGAGATGCCCAGACAGCGGGCATATTAATCCCAGGTCGACGCATAGCTCCAAAGAGCGCTGCATGCGCCGTGCATGAGACCGAGCTCGCCGCATCGGATGCCCTGAACGGCCTCATGCTCTTCTTCACGAATCAACAGTGCACCATCAGCATGGTCGACAAGACCGCGCGCGAGCGGTGTTGTGAACGCAGTTCAAGCAGGCGCTGCCAGGATTTTGAGGGCGCGTCGCGCTTCTGAAGACCAGGGCCAACAGAAACGCAAGTTGGAGACTGAATGGGAATCAGGGGCGCGCCCGGGTGGATGCACATGCGCACGACGAGAGCCAAGAGCTTCTAAACGCAACGAACCAAGAAGTGGTCAGATCCCCCCGGCATCGCTGCAAATGTGGCCACGAAGTTAGGCAGTGTTCCATGGATGAACTCGCGGAAGGATTAACCTGGCAGCGCGGCGCAATCCAGAGTGATCGCGCCCATGCCATCGATGCCCGTAGGATCCGGGAGAGTTCGGGCACGGCTCTGCGCGGCAAGAGGCATAGTGGTTAAACGTCGGATTATCCCCAAAATAGGAGCCGCGCCAGGGCGCCGCGGGCGCCGCGCCATTGCCGGACGAGACCCGCGCCGCAAACCGCGCATCGCCGGGCGTGGGGCAAGGGGCCATGGAGCGGCTAGAAGCAAGAGGATCACAGAGCACGGGCCAGGCCATTCTCTTTGCAGCTAAGATTTGACGCAACCGTCAAAGAAGAGCTCTGCAAGCGCGAAGAAGACTGAATCGACGCTTGCTGACAGGCGCGCGTAACAGATGGAGCGGCGGCCCCCAGCGACGCCACTGGACAACGCCATGCTCAGAATTTACATGGCGAAGAGAGAGAGAAAGAGAGAGAGAGAGAGAGAGAGAGAGAGAGAGAGAACAAACAAAAAGAGAGAGAGAGAGAGAGAGAGAGAGAGAGA